TGTACAGAACCAATCTGCATTTGACACAATGTGTATACATACAAAGATATTTTGTATGAATAAAGTGTATTGTTGAAATAGAAAACAAAAGAGTATGAAAACTAACATAAACATGGATGGGCTTGGCCATGATGGCCATAAACAACTCCAGACTGTGGGCCGTTGAAGTGGTGTCTCAGCCTGCCCTTCCTCCACAGTTGTATTTGTGTCCTTGGAAAGGATGCACGTGGTGACCACTGGTACGATATATGAACATTGGGCACTGCTGGGGTTGAAGTGCATTATTAATTTCCAAAATAAGTTTTCAATCTGAATTTTGTTGATTTAAATTTTAAACCTTTGATTCTGTTGAACTGCTCCTTTAAGGGGCTGGCACACTTTAATCTAGTTTAATTTAATTTACTCAATTTAATTGGATTTGACTGATTTTAAAAGAGGTAAACATGGATAGGATCAATGGAAATGGGGAAAGGTTCATATTGATCCCCCAGCAAAACACAAACCAGTCCATATTCTCCCGAAGAACCAAAGTAACAGACTTTGGTAAAAATCTTGACACTAAAAGTGGGAGGAGATTTTTTATTTGGGTGGAGTTAATACTTTAAAGTTTTGTTTGACTGAAAGGGCATCCAATTAGCCATGAGCCTGGATGCTGGAGACTCATGATCAGCTGGGTTCCACTCACAAAAAAATCAGCATCGCTTCAGAAATGATGACAGTACATGCTGATAAAATCCTAAAAAGACAAGGAGTCACAGCCCATTGTGGGCAGGTGCTGTCTCATGATATCTCAAATATGGATGCAACCATAGAGGAAGGAAGAGGTTAATTCCTTAATCAGCCCATAAGGCAGAGAGGAACAATCTTCTGGCCCCAACCTCTACTTTTCCAGTTGAATGTTTGTGTCAGACAATTGGAAGTGGGGTGTTTAGGTGGTGGGTCTACTACAGCAAGGCAGTGCCTCTTGTACCCTACAGTTATGGCAATTTGAAACTATCCTGCTGTAGAATAGACAGCTCAGTAATGTATTGCCTACCTTGTGACCTGAGAATGTTTCGTTTGGCTCTGGAGACCCTAGCCAGAGGAAAGATCTTGCCACGTTCCACGCTTCAGCGTCTGTTCGCATTTTGTCATTCCTCGGAGATCATCTCTGTGATGTTTGCAATGCAGCAAACCCAGGCCCACCCTCAATCTCATCTCATCCAAAAAGGCCATTATCCCTGAAAACAGTTTTGTGAGACTTGTGTGCAAATCCCAAACAATAGGTCATCCTTACCTATGTAATGAGAACAACATAAGGCACACAATTTACTGGTGAAAAGGCAATGAATGATGTAGCAATAGAAGACCAGCTTCTTATTCTGGTGGGAGAAAATGCCGACTCCTTTCAGTCAACCATGTCAGTTCCCCTAGTGGTGTTAATGTGCTGAACCTACAGGGAACTCATGCAATGCACATCAAGCTACGTTTCCATTGTTTACGCACATAAACTGAATGAACACCTGTGTCCCTTAAGATGTTTTCTTTCATCACCCACCACTATGTGGAGGCAGGCTGCTGCCAAATATACCCTGCTAACTCTGAGTGTCCTCTGGATGCTTCTGCACAGTTGCTCCCTTCTCGATCTGACATTCTGAAGCTGTTTGTGGCTGCTATTTCCTCGATCGGAGAAGCAAGAATTAGCTGCTGAACATACACAGCCCCCTAATTGAACAGTCTCTCAGACACTGTGCATATGTGGGTGCAGCAGCTGACTGGTAGTACCCTCACTATCTTCTAAGATAGTCCTATCTATCCATCTGCACTGGCACAGTCATGGTCCTCCCCTGACAGTTTTGTAGCCTCCCTTCAAACAGGGTGAGGATTCGAATATTTGGGACTGCCCTCTGCCAGTCTGAATCTGCTCCCCCTCCTGGCTTTAGAGCATAAGGACTAGGAGCAGGAGTAGGCAGTTCAGCCCCTTGACCCTGCTCCACTATTGGATACGATCATGTCTGATTTCATCTCAGCCCCAACTCCACTTTCCTGCCCCCTCTCCATAACCCTTCAACCCATCACTAATGAAAAACTGTCTGTCTCCTTGTTAAATTTACTTGATGTCCCAACATCCACCGCTCTCTGGGGTACTGAATTCCATAGATTCACCCCCTTTGAGAGAAGCAATTTCTCCCCATCTATGTTTTCAATCTGCTACCCTCTTATCCTAAAACTATGACCTCTCATTTTGGGTGATGTTTTCCTACAAAAAGACAAAGATAACGCCACCAGCAAACACATCTTTCCCTCACTCTTCCTCTTTGCATTTGTTCCGTCAAGGACACCCTAGTCCATTCATCGACCACCAGCACCACCCACCCCCCCACAGCATCTTCCCATGTAACCACAAAAGGTGCAACACCTGCCCATTCACCTCCTCCCTGTCCACCATCCAAGGGCCTAAACAGCTTTTCCATGTGAAGCAGCATTTCACCTGTACCTCCTCCAATCTTGTGTACTCAGCCAATGTGGCCTACTCTACATTGGAGAAACCAAACGCAAACTGGGGGTGACCGCTTTGCAGAACACTTCCAGTCTGTGCGCAAGCATGACCCCGACCTTCCCATAGCTGGTCATTTTAACACAGCATCCTGCTCACATGCCCACATGTAAATTCTCGGCATGCTACGGTGCTGCAGTCAATCACAGCGCAAACTGGAGGAAAAACATCTCATCTTCAGTCTAGGCACTTTACTGCCTTCTGGAGTTAATATTGTGTTCAACACCTTCAATTGTGAACCAATCCCATTCCTTCCCTTTCTTTTAGCTTTACTTATTACATTCCTATGTCACGACGTCCTCTCTCCCCTCCCCGCAACTCCAGTGAGACTGCCTGTTCTTTCAAGTCTGGCAATTAGACTCACCATTGTTCTGCTATTCTCACAATCCAATCATTTAATCTGAACTATCAACATCTTTTCTCCCCCAGCACTCTACACCCCACAGCCCCCACAACATGCTCCCCACTTCTCAGAGTTGTGATAAAGTTCTATATAAATGCATGTTCTTGCTTTCCAAGTGGTGGCCAAAATCATAACGTAGGAAACAAAGTGGGTAAGAGAAAACCTGAATTTATGTGACATTGGGTATAATAGAAAGACTTCCTTTCAGGTCCACAACTGCAGCATAAAAACTGCCCCCTCCACACTTCAGCTCTGCGTTAGCGCACTCTCTGTCCATGGATGCTGCCTGACCCACTGTGATCTCCAGCATTTGTTATTTTCAGTACAGATTCCAGCATCTGCAGTAATTTGCTCCTAAATTATTCTAATTCCATCTTTCCTTTGTTGTATTTTAACTATAGTGGATGAATAAAGTATGTTTTGCTTTAAATCTGCTGGTTTGACCAACTGAATTGCACCTGGGATGCAACACCTTACACTTACCTTTAAAATAAGAAAAAGTTAGGGTCAAGACTATCTTCTGAATATTTTGAGGGGGCTTGGTCTGGTGCACAACAAATTAGGGGTTCTTGTTGGGATCAAGATCTCTAATTCCAGGTTGGGTTTAGGAATATTGGACTCAAAGACACCAAATAATAAGTGTTAGTGTCTTTTATTGCGGGTGTTGAATTTGGTTCGTTTAAACTGGGTGTGCCTTGTGTAGTACTGCCTCTCTCAGTCACTAAGAGATTTCTGGGGTGGAAGAGGTCAGTTTGGGAGTTTTGCAAAACATCAGCAAGGCAAAGCTTTTGGACTTGGCAAAAAGTTGGAGTTGTGGTTGATGTGTCTGTGAGAAATGTGATGACAACAGGTACCTGGGCACTTCATGAGCATGCAAAGCCAAGCCAGGTCCTGAGTCCTTCTCAGTAAAGTAATGAAGATGCACACTGCCCAGGAAACTGGTAGAACATTGACAGCAAGAGATTCAGATCACATTATCCAGATGTTGTTGAATCTTGTACACCATCTTCCTATTGGACGGGCCTCTGCACTGGCACAGTCAGGCTGAGTGATGCCCCACAAGTACCAATTTGCAGTGAGTGGACAGTGCCACTTTAAGAATCTCAGGATATTGTTCATCCTCTTCCTACACTGAATCCAGTTTCTTTTGTGAGGGCCCACAGGCGCTACATTGGCTCAGGTCACTTTGATCAGACAGGAGGGCCTCTTGCTGCCTATAGTGGGAAAGAGAGCCTCCTGCTTTTCAGAATAGCCTGGATCAGAATGTCTAGAGAATCCTCACTGAGCCATGGAACCAGATTCAGTTTGTTGTGAAATGTCTCCAAAGGGGTGGGAGAGGTGACCAACAAAGTTAGGGTAATCCTCCTGGTTTGGAATGAATGATGGTTCATCTAGGTGCTATTTAAATATTGCCCCCAAAAGTCCTGGCTGGGTGATAATCCTCAGATGTGCACTGTAAGTCCAGATTCACTTTGTACTTGTGTAAAAACATATATACATAAGCTCCAAGCTGATAACCACAATTCTCTCCAAATGGAAGTGACACCTGACCCTGCTGCATGGTTGAACTTTAACACAATAATGGAAGATTCTGCCCAATCTCTAACTTAATTGTGATCGCAGGAACTTAAAGCAATTTGGGTACAGCTTCCACAACCTAATTAATACGCCTTAAGAAAACTAATAATGTCAATAATAATGCCAACAATAATAACATAACAATGTAATATTGTTACCTCAATTTAAAACTGACTCCCAAGAACTCTAAAGAAACTCCAACCAAACCCTGGGTTTAAAATGTAGGTTCTACATTCAGTTCAACTAGTTTCAGTGAGACATTACTAAGCAGGTGATCTTAAACCTATTTCTGCATTGAAAATACAAGGACCATTTACTGTAAAAAAAATGTAAAAGGCTTCAACTATAATCATGCATTAAATAAGGATTATTATTACAACATTATTTCATGAGAATGAAATATTCATAGCCTCAAAAGTAGACAGAGCAACAATTTTAATTTGAAAAACTCAGTCACCTTATAAGTAAGACATAACGGCTGTTCATTCTGTTTAAATACAAATTCCCTTCTCCAGGGAATAAAAATACATAAATGCCTCTCAACAATAAAAATATCAATTAAAGATAATATTAAACAATTTACTGAATTACATCACATGAGACTCCAAAACAACTAACTTTAAAAGTGCTTCAGAAAACTGCAATTGGGTGCTGTAGGCTATTCACATATCACACTGAAATCTTCTAAACAATGAAGCAAGATGTGTAAGAGGGATGCAGTTTATTTTGTGAAGGGTCACTTTAAAGTACCTCCATTAATATAATTAACTGGCTGGAGACACTTCTCAGAGTTGTGATAAGATTCTACATAAATGCATGTTCTTGCTTTCCAAGTGGTGGCCAAAATCATAATGTAGAAAATGAAGAGGGTAAGAGAAAACCTGAACTTATGTGACGTTGGGTAGAATAGAAAGACTTCCTTGCAGTTCCACAACTGCAGCGGGAAGGCAGAAAAACTGGATTTTTTTAAAAATTCACTCATGGGTGATGGGCATCACTGGCTGGCCAGCATTTATTGCCCATCCCTAGTTGCCCTGAGGATAAGCAGAGAACAGTAGGCATTCAAAATGGTTACTTATTCCAAATACTCACAAAAGGAGGCATGTACACACTCCCCTTCCAAATAAAGAAAAAATCTTAGTATAATCTGTGACTTTGATTAGAGGCTCAAAGAGACTGAAAGAAGAAACTGGGGATGTGTGATTAAAGCATAACTTTCAATACCAGTACAGGTAGGACAGATCAAAAGGCCTAGGCAGCTGTAAGTGCTATCATTCTATGATGATTCTTCTACGATGAGAAAGACATTCCAGAGATGGTCTTTGTTTGTACTGAATATTAGGACAGTTGCAAGGCACTTCCAAAAAGTATAATGAAAGGACATGATTGGAAACCATAGGCTGAATTTAATGAGTGTGACATGGTGCCATTGGTAATCCCCATGAGACCTTTTCTGGGAGCCCTGGGAACTTGCCTACTGACATCAGCATTCCCAGGGCCTTCAGAACAAGGATCCAGCCTTCAAGAGCTGCCAATCAGATGGCACTGCAGGAGACCCAGTACGAGGAACAGCCATGGAGATCTTGGTTAGGCCGGTGGTCCCTTCAGGGATAGCCAGGTAGCCTACTGAAGGACTTCAATTCCCCAAAGGGCAAGAAGGTTAATTTTGATCTTTCCTACCTAATTTAATCAGGGATATTTGGAAAGGTGACAGGCTGTCTGCCAAACACCATCCCAAGCCTATATGAAGGCAATACTTTAAAAAAAGCCAAAATAGGCATTTATATTTCAATAACTTAGGTTGGTTACCATTGATGTTTGCTATGTTTGATCATAAAAGACCTTGCCCCCAGTTTGCATTCATGCAAGATCTAGTCAGAAATGTTATGTATATCCTGCAATCTGTCTGGCCTATTTTCAGGAATGATTGGTTGTTCACACATCAGTAAATCATCTTCTGTCAGGGAGGAGCTTTGATCGGAGCTTACAAAGTTTGGAATGTTGAACTTAGTCAGACAGTTCATGGGATCAACTGAATTGTCACTTCTCCCCTCTCTTCCTCGTGTGGTAAGGTCACTGTTCCCTGCTCCGTGTGCTTTGTTTACAAATTGTTGCCTTTCCAACTGTACAATCTCATTAACATAGCAATGAAAGAGAGACCTGGATTCTTCATTTTCAGGATGGGAAAAGGCTTTGTCTGATCTGGACATGATATAATTAATAGCAAAGTTGTTTGTTCTGTGTTGTTTTGTAGAAAGGTCCACATTCCTGCTAAAAGAGATCACACTTTTAGAATGAACATTTCTCAGATGATTGTTCACATCCTGTTAACAACAACTTTCATGGTGCTGTTAATGTTAATGCTAGAGGAGATCACAGGCATAGGGAGAGGTGAGGCCACAAAGGGATTTTAAAACGTAGAGGAGAATTTTAAAATCAAGAGGTTACATGGAGTCAATGTAGTTCTCAGCAGACAGGGACGGGTGAATGTGACTGCAAGTTAAGACAGGTAGTAGAGTTTTAGATGATCTGAAGTTTATTGAGAGTAGAATATGGAAGACCAGCCAGCATGCTTTGAAATAGCGGTTCTTTAGTGGTCTCTCAGATCAACCCCAATGAGAATACCCTCTTACCTGGGTTCTAGAGCCTGGTTGCTCCTTGCACTGAGCCTCCAGTACTGTCAGGGTGACCACTGCTCCCAGTGAAACTGCTGGGTCTAAAGAGCTGCTGGCCAGCTAATCGCAGTGCAGGTCAGAGTGAGGGTTTCAGCAGAAGATAAGCTAAGTCAGGGACAAAGTCAGGCAATGTCAATGAGATGAAAATAGGCAATCTTAGTGGCAGCTCCAGTAGGAGGTTGAAATTTGTTTTTGGGTTTAAATGTGACATGAGGTTGTGAACGGACTGATTTAATCTCAAGACAGTTTCTGGGGATAGGGATGCAGTCAGCAGCCAGAGAACAGATTTTTGAACAATATAGAAACAACGCCTTATCAGACTCCTCATCTTACACCTAATACCGGGACAAACGAAATTTCACTTGATCAAATCCTGAGAAGGCTGAGGAAAGTTTATTCTTTTACACAGTCACATGGGATGTTGTTTGTGATTTTGCAAAGAGCTGTTTTGGTACCTTGGGTGGGGAGGAAAGCCGAATGGATGATTCAAACATGGAATCCTGGGAAAGATGGGGATAAATTTTCCCCAGGGCTGGACAGGTTTCCTCCAGGTGCTCCAGTTTCCTCCCACAGCCAAAGATGTGCAGGTTAGGGGAATCAGCCACACGAAATATGGGGTTATGGGGATAGGGTGGTGAGGTGGGATGCTCTTCGGAGGCTTGGTGCAGGACTCAATGGGCCAAATGGCCTCTATCTGCACTGTAGGGATTCTATGATTCTACATTTGGGAGGCCACAAAACAGTCAAGGATTTTGAAGAGGTAAGGGAGATTGAAATGAGATATACTAAAGAAACTTTACTTTGCTTGGCATTCCTAGGAAGTATTGATTGACTGAAATCCCAGTTAGCTATTTGTCCATGTACTGGCAGTGGAAATTACACACAGCAAGCAGTTCCTTCAGAAGAGAATCAAGTAAGTCTATCATGCAGGTGTGACCAAGTTGAGTACAGCTAACTACTTTAATAGAGGCAATTTCCACTTGCAACAGCATTTCTCTGCTGGATAACTAACTAACTGGTATTTCATTTTAGAGATAGTAGGAACTGCAGATGCTGGAGAATCTGAGATAACAAGGTGTAGAGCTGGATGAACGCAGCAGGCCAAGCAGCATCAGAGGAGCAGGAAGGCTGACGTTTCAGGTCTGGACCCTTCTTCAGAAAATGAAGAAATTTTCTGAAGAAGGGTCTAGGCCCGAAACATCAGCCTTCCTGCTCCTCTGATGCTGCTTGGCCTGCTGCGTTCATCCAGCTCTACACCTTGTTATCTCGGTATTTCATTTTATCCATGATTCCAATGGATACAAAGTTTCATGTAATAGCAAATTTGGACAATCATATGGTTTAGGTCATAGGTTTTCAAAAGAATTGCCCTCTCTTTAGGAAACACAGAGCACATAAAGATAGAACTCCCATATTGTCTTTTTTTACAAGTAAGTCGTGACATGTAATTACACGAATAAATTGATTTGATCAAGTTTAATTAAACCCAAAAGGTCTTGATGTACTGATAATCATTATCTAGCTAAAGCGTCATTTAATTGACTCAACAATATTTAACAGCCTTGGAGAAGAAAGTGGCTATTCTTGGTGGCCTTCTAATGTTGCAATAATTAAAGTTTCGATATAAGCTTATTTATGTAGAGGAGCAACCACTTATACAGAGACCTTAATGTAATAAGTGAAAGATGCCTTACAGAACTTTATCATTATTGGACAAAGTATGGACACCGAGCCACACAAGTAACTTTTTGGACAGATGGTAAAAGGTTTAGTTAAGGATTTTAAGTAGCATCTTTGAGGAAAGGAGAAAGGCTGGGGCACTGAGAGTCTTGGGGAGAATTGAAGAGCATATGGCCTCAGCAACTGAAGATCTAAGTACGAATGGTGGAGCAAAAATAGCCAAGAGTACAAAAGCAGTCAAAACTGGAGAAGCACAGAGATGTAGGGCTGGAGGAGCTATTTGAGATAAAGAAGGATAAGGTCATGGAGGATTGATTAAAAAAAGCAAGAGAATTTTACAAATTGAGGCTGACATTTTTGCTTCAAAGTTGAACAGCAACCTCTCCCACATTAGAAGTAGATAGTGCTGTACATTCAACAGAAAACCAAGTATTTATTATCCAAACATTCTTATGGTGACGTTTTCACCGTCACGAGACAGCAGCCGGCCTTGTCAGTAGTTCCCTGTATCAGGAAAGCTATTATGGTTACTGAGCTTTTATGGCTGGGATGATTCTAGTTCTTGTCCTTTCACTGACGAAGGCAAAACCTCCAGTGAGAGAGTGCTGAACCAAAGGCACATTGTGTCCCCTCACTTCCTCTTCCCACTAAAGGAAATTCTTCAACGGTAACTCACAAAAGTTGACACTTACAGAATCAAATGAAATTTAATGTCACAATTTGCTCTTACTGGGGCTAAGTATGAATAGCAATAGCAGGTCCAATTGCAAGTCAGTATTTCTTTTCACAGGGTTGGGGGTGTCATGAGAAGAGGTGGGGCTTGGAGGTAGCTTTAAGAGACCATCCCTTTGCCTCCACCTATTTCTCTGATTGGTCTCACACTGGGAATTAGGGAACACCCCTCCCACCTCACCCAAAGCTGGCAAGCAAGTCACACTGGTTACCCAGTCAGGAAACCAGCCATCTTTCTCACCTACCAAGATGGCAGGTAACCAGAGATGAGGCCCTTAAGGGATTATTGGTTGACCACTTTAGAACCTTAATTACAATCAGAATTACTTAATGGTTTAGATAATCATCAGCATGTTATCAAAACAAAAATTATCATGGAATTTTACTGGACATATGATCATTGTAGTGATGAAAGAGCTAGCACTCTCTCCGGGTTCCCCCTTGTCATACAAGCATTTCTTTTTCAAGCATATTTTGGAACAACACTGAAACAGGAGTAGGTTAGTTAGCTTCTTGAGCTTGCACTGACATTCAATGAAATCATGCACGATTTAAAACCAAGCTCCACATACCCAAAACCCTTAATGTCTTTGGTTAATAAAATCTATATGTTTTGGATTTAAAATTTACAATTAATCTGGCAGCGATGACCATTGTTTGAAGAGAGTTCCAAACTTCCACCATATTTGTGTGTAAAGTGTTTCAGAATTTCACCTCTGAAATGTCTGATTCTAATTTTTAGGCTGTGTCCCTCGGTCCTAGGCTCACCAACTAACAGAAAATGTTTCTCTTTATTTTGTCACTTCCCTTTAATATTGTGAGTGGTTTGATTAAATCACCACTTAACCTCATAAATTCCCTGACAACACCCAACCTTTGTTTACGTTAGTCTTCGTAATTTAACTCTGAGTTCAGGTACCATCCTGTGTGCTGCACTCTCTCCAAAGTCAATGGATACTTCCTAAGGTCCAGTGATCAGAACTGCTCTCAGTATTCCAAGCGTGGTCTAACTAAGTGCTTTTGAAAGCTGATCCATGGCATCTGCTGCTTTCACTTAAGGCTGGAATGGACAGATTGTTGATCTCTCAGAATCAACGGGTATGTTGCAGTGGTCAGGAAAATGAAGTTTAAGATTACTCATGGTGGAGCAGTCTCAGCATGGGTCATTTGGCCTACTCTTTCTCCCGTTTCCTGTGTTCTTCTTTTCTTGAGTCTTCTGGTGTTCTACATATGAAGGGCAGGATTTCAGTCGTCTTTTTGATACCTTTTCATGACATGTGAATGATCTGTGTACCTGAACGCTAAGTCTTTTTGGACTTACGGTGTTTCTAACATTTCACTGTTTTGAAAGTATCCAATTCTATACTTTTTATATCCAAAATGAATGATCTCACATTTTCCAACACTGAACTATATTTGTCACAGTTTGCCTTTTACTTACTTTTTACTATTGCTTCATAATTTAATGCTTCCATCTCATTATCTAAGTTGTTAATAAATACACTAAATTTTTGAGGCTTCAACACATATCATGGGGGACACCGCTAGTCTTGTTCTGTCAAATAGAGTACCTGTAGATTATCCATGTCAAAGTATTATGGCACAGTGGTAGTCTCCCTATCTTTGAGCCAGAGAGGCTGGTTTCAAGCTTCACCTGCCCCCAGAGGTGAGCCACAACATGTCAAAACATGTTAAAAATATTGAATTTTGAAAATATCTACATATCATTGCTCCCTGCCTCCTGCCACCCAGCCAGTTTCCTACCTGAGTAACCTCAATTCCATGAGTTTTAATTTTAACTCTCTCTTATGGGGTCATTATTCAAAAGCTTTCTGCTTATTCAAAAAAAAACACTGATAGGCATTTTCTACCACTACTTCAGTTACTTCTACAAAAAGTCCAATTAGCTCTCTTAGGCATGAGCTACACGTAAAGGCTTTCCCTGATCGGTTGAAAATAGTCAAGGTCAACCAACCTTATTTGTAGAGTTTGTAATTTCCTGACAACAGATGTAATGTAAACTGGTCTATTACTTATTGTTTCTTAAATGGGCAATGACTATTCACAATTTTTCAACCTAAAGGAGCCATTACCAAATTAAGAGAACTTTGGGAGATTGCTGTTTGGGCCACTGCGCTGTTCCCACCTACTTTTTAAAATCCACAGATGAAAACCATCTGATCCCAGGGATTTGTCGCCCTTCAGTGCTATTACATTTTTCTCTCTAACTGATATTTAGCTCACAGTAATGATGGCAATTTCCTGTTCATGATTTTCAATATTCCTTTTCCTTTGGGATTTCCAGTGTGATGACCCCTTTCTGTACTGTTGAAGTAATTGTTCAGCACATCCATCAGTTCTTTAACTAACATCACCATTATCAGTTCTTAAGGGGCCTACTGTCCTGCCCATACTTCTAGCACCAAAAATAAGTGTAACATTTTTGTATTGATTTTCACATCTTTTTTGTACCCTTCCCACTAGCCAGGATCATGAACCATTTTTTACTAGTGCAATTTTTATTTTTACTGTTATAGCACTGCTGACCTCTTTTCAAACTTATTATAGAATATCTTTCCATCTGACTTTCAGGCAATGCATTCCAGATCATAATAGATCATTGCATAAAATGATTCTGTTTATCTTTCCTCTAGTGCTTTTCCAAGTAGTTTAAATCTGTGTCTTTTGATGAGTGACCCCCAGTGGAAACTGTTTCTCTTTATTTACTCTATCAAAACAATTTTTATTTAATTCCTGTAAGTGTTACCAATACATACAATTGTAACTATCTCAGAGGCACTTCTCTTAATCTGTGTCCTAATGCATGTGCTCTTCAATGATTACATTTTAGTCACTGCAGCAGGGTATTTTCCAGCTCCTCTTCATTGTAAGATGTACGTAAGACAATATTATAAGATAGCTCTAATGTTCTTCCTGATACAACCCTTTATTAAAAATTAAAAGTAACAGCCTGACTTACTCTTGATGTGGTGCTCCTGTCTTTGTCAGCAGCGTCAAAATGAAAAACATGAAAATGACAAACACTGCCAGGCCTACCCAAAATCCAATCACAATGGAATCTGAAAAACAGGACATTGTTTTGAGTTGCTTAATACAAAGTTAACACAGTTGGAACATTGGCTTCAAAGGGGTAATCTTTCTGATTTTTAATCAAATAACAAGTAGGCTCACTTACAAATAATGAAAGATAGTTCAGGGCTGAGATAGACATTTTTAGTCAGTAAGGGAATCAAGAGCTAAAGGTGTGTGTTAGAGGTGGGAGGAGTGAATGATCAAAGTGAATGAGCAGACTGTCATGTCCTGGATAGTATCAAGCTTCATGAGGATTGTTGGCACTGCATTCATCCTGACTTGTGCCTTGTAGTTGGACAACAAGTTTTAGGCAGTTTAGAGGCGAGTTACTCACCACTGAATTTCTAGCCTCTGTCCTGCACTTGCAGCTACAGTATTTATATATCAGTTTCTGGTCAATGGAAATCCCAAGATGTTGATAATGAAGGACACAGGGATGGTAATATCATGGAGAGATAGTGAGGTTTTCTCTTGTTGGAGATGATCATTGTCAGACACTTATCTGGCACAAAGGTTACTTACCACTTTTCTGCCCAAAACTTTAAGTTAACCAGGTCTTGCTGCATGGTCTGCTTAAGTATCTGAGGAGGCTAAATGGTGCTGAATATTGTGTAATCATCAGCAAACATCCCACTGTTGATCTTATAATGGAGGGAAGGTCGTTGGTGAAGCAAGTGATGAGGTTCCACCAAGGACACTACCACCCTGAGGAACCCCTGGAGCTGAAATGATTGACCTCTAATAACCACAACCATCAACCTTTCTGCTAGACATGATTGGCTGGATCATCGAGTTGAAGGGTGCTGCAATGTCCATGCAACAGGAATTTTGAGCTACCAGAGGTTAAGAAAGCTTTATGCTAAATACTGTTCTCATAAAAATAACTTAAACAGGGAAGGTTTGATGTCACACATCTAAGCCTAAGTGCAAGCATCAAGGAGCAACATTCATGTACTGAATAATAAAGGAAATGAATCCACTGTAATTGACACGAACATTTTTGAGGTGGTAGATGAAGTGCTGAAGAAGTTGATTGTCTTGTTCCGAATGGTGTCAAGCTTCTTGAGTGTCACTGGAGCTGCACTCATACAGGCAAGGGGAGAGCAGCTGGTCACACTCCTGACTTGTCTTGTAGATGGTGGACAGAATTTGGGGAATCAGGAAGTGAGTTACTCACTACAAGATTCCTAGCCTCTGATCTGCTTTTGTAGCCACTGTATTTATATGGCTAGTCTATTTCAGTTTATAGTCAATGATAAACGCCAGGATGTGGATGGTGGGGGATTCAGTAATGATTGATTTGCATGCTTTGGTTTTCTCTGAAGAAACTGGTCACGTAGTGGCACTATTTGGAACTGGTTACCCCCAAGCCCTATTCTCTTGAGAAAAGAAGGCTGCAACACAACTTGATATATTTGTTTAAAATTATGAGAGATTTTCACTGAATCCCGACAGGCAGAAAGAGGCCATTCAGCCCATTGAGTCTGTACCAATCTTCTGAAGAGTATCCCATCCAGACCCAGGAGAAGCATCTTTGCTCAAAGAGTGGTGAAATTATGAAACTCATTGTGACAGAGAGGGATTGAAGTAAACATAACGGATACATTTAAAGGGAAGTTTGACAAACGTATGAAAGTCATACAGCACAGAAACAGAACTTCAGTCCAACAGTCTATGCTGATCATAATCCCAAACTAAACCAGTCCCATCTGCCTTCGCTTGGTCCATATCCCTCCAAACATTGTCATTGTAGGATTTGAGCACATGGACACAGAGCATTAGTATCTAGACAACTAGTCCAGTCACATTACGACATCACCAGTACCACCAATTCTTACAGTTCTCCTAATAAGGACAAAATGGAAAGATTTAGCAACAGGTTTCTATTTTCAGCAATATTGAAGGTCAAATTTACAGAACCCTCACTAAGCCAGCATGACATCTTAACAAAGCAAAATACTGTGGATTTTGGAGCATTTTCTGTTTTTATGACATCTTATAGGCCTCCCATCAGCTCAACTAGTGAGTCAGAAGGATTGATAAGGGCTTAATGTAGTGGATTTTTTTGATTCACATTCTACCTGGATGTAACACAGAAACGAAAATCCACTGAGGAGGATCTCATTCTCCTTGCAGATTCTTCACTGGTATTCTTGCACTAACAGTTGCATTTCTGGAGGTCAAAAGAATTTGGATAGGGCGAGAAAGAAGATAAATGGGGTGGAGATGTCCAAAGTTGGCTGGCTTGCTGAGACAAGCCCACTTCCAAACACTGGATCGGTTTCTCTATCATTTGGATGTTTGCCAGCCTCAGCTTACTGGAATCCCAGGGAGGACTCCTCTGCAAATTCCAAACATTTCCCTGCATTTAGATTCTTAAAAGCCAAAGAAGATTGGAAACAGTGAATCTGACTTCTCCATCAAGAGAGGAGAAAGAAAACAGGAAACTACAATCCCGTGTCTTAGCTTTACATCTGTCACAGCAAAACATTGGAATGTTAAAGAGACATACAGCAGGGTACCTAGAAAATCACAAAGCAATCAGGCAAGGTAAACAAGGCTTGTGAAAGGGAAATCACCTCATTTTTTGAAGTCACAAGAAATGTACCTTGAACTTGAAATGCACGTATTTGCAATTTCTAGAATGTTATTATTTTAAATTCTATTTTGTTTCTCTCTGATTTCTGTGCCCCAAATAGCAAGCCTCGGTTGAGAGAATGAACAGATAATATCTCTATGGACTTCGGTCATTGCCTACTGTGTGTCTGGCTAGACTAGAGAGTATAGAAATGACTTCTCGTCTTCACTCATTCAACATCCTCCTTGTTCTCCACTCATCCTCACTCCTCTCTTCCTCCCACATTTATCCACATCCACTCAGCATTTTCCTCATAAGTAGCTGAGTTTTTCTTGGAAACCTTTCTGAACATGAATCAGAGAGGGAGTCTTTTTAGGCCTTGCCGTACTGTACAGCTCCAACGTGCCTTATTCTGTCTGGTTAGCTGCTTCAATTGTCAAGACTGTAGCAGTAAATAATTTTCCCTGCAATACAATCAATGACAAAAAAGTTACCAGGAGTTCTGAGGTTTTAAAAAAAATCTTATGGTCCATGGGAGCCCTGTAGCTAACTGATTGTTCAGCACATTGCAACAAAAGCTCGTAAAGGATCACTGTAGCTGAAACCTTTGACAAAAATGATCTGCAGCTAGCCAAGCAGGAATGATGGCTGTATTTGAACATGAGCTTTGCCAGATTCCCCACAGTTTTCCATCCATTTTTTGGGCAGAACATAATGGAGGAGATTAACTGCATTCTCAAAGATTTGATTGTATATGTTTCCAGGAAGCAAGTCTTTTTGCCAGAATGAGACCCTGTAAGATTAGTCAATAGATGATCAAATCACTGAAGCAGGTTAGAAGGAAGTTTAATGCTATACAAAAAGAAATAAAGGCATTTTAACACCATTATTTTCACATCAGGCATGCATAAGTAGCTCCACCTTGACGGACACTCATTCCATTATCAAACAAATACCGGCATGATGCTATTGTGAATCTTAAGAGCTTTAAGAGTTTCATTTTAAAAATGGTGTAAGTCACGATGGACTCTGAGGATTATTAGATGCTTTTTTGGTGATTGAATTGCCTTTTCTTGGGAGATGGCAAAGATGTCTTTGTTTGTGACTTACTGTGGGTTAGGTTAGGGGCAGTCAAGGCTCCTTCCTCATTGTAAAATTATGGATAGCTTTCCAAACACACAGGTTCTGGCCAACAAAAACCACAGGTGGGAGAAGAACACTGTTGGAAGCATCACAATATCTTACTTCAGCCTTGCCCCAACACTTCATGCGAGCTCACATGATACGGTAACCAAATGCAGGTTTTAAAAGTGTAGTTCTTTAGATTCACAATATCATCATGCCAGTTTTGGTATGACGACACATCGAATGAGTGTACATCTAGGTGGAGCTATATATGCATATCTAATGTGAAAATAATACTGGGACCAAATCTATTCCCTGCTAAAAGATTTAGCGGAAATTTAAATTGACTTCCAGGCTTTTCAACAGAATTCCATCAGAGAGTCTTGCAAAAAAGGCCATCAGGCTGCAACAATTAGCTGAGTAGTCAAGTAACTATTTACAATGTCTTGAAAGAGATGCAGAACCTGTTCCATCTTCAAGGTCACTCGAGACATCCACCTCAGTGCAGATCAGCTGTAAGAGCCATTGTTGTAGATATTCATGGCCGAATATGACAAATGGCTATTAGGGGTTTTCTTTTTAACTGACACAGACAATCGAAGGAAATTTTAGCTGACGTAGCAAATTATTTAGCTGAAAAAGATCATGGCCCTCACAGCTAGAAAACAAAACTCCACTGAGTTGTAGTAAGATGGGACTAGAATACAAACAGTAAGACTCTGATAAGGCACCGCAGATGAAAACCATTTGAGTTGAGATTTCCGATTTTTATATGAAATGGAAAGGGAAAGCTTGTCCTGTTTCAGATGAGGCTTTTTAAATAATTATAATTACATGTTACAGTAGAAAAATATTTGTACAAGAATAGAAGTTTAATTTATTTAGAAATTGGGGAATTAAATTTCTGAAGGCAGTTACCCTTACATGCAGAGACATCCTTGAAGAAACCTTTTTCTCTGTCAGCAAGAATATTAAAACAGCAAAAAGGTATTAACAAGATAGCCTTGTAAGAGTACTAAGAAACAAATAACATAGCAAAGACGGCAGAAACAATTTTGAAACCGGGTCACTATGACCTCGAGAGAATAAACAACTGCCATTCCACATAAGAGGGAAGCCGTTAGCTTCGTCACAGAATCATAGTATCAGGTTTAACTATATATACCTTTTAATGTAACTTTATACTAGAGCTGATATTACAAAAATTGTACCATTTGGTAGAAATTAACATCCTGTTTAATCTTCTGTACTAAGATCAGCACAGAGCTGCATGACCAAATTTTAAAAGTCGTTAGTAATAAGCAAGTATACAATGCGGCTGGCAAACGTCTAGGAAGGGGCATAACGATTGCTGTTGGAATGTGGTCAATAATGTAAGAGCCTAAGGAAAGGTAATAGAGGGTCTGGCAAACATCATGAGATGATGGAAGGACCTAAGGTTGACCATGAAGTTGTCCAACTTTGATCGTGTTTTCACAGGATCGGATGTGTAGGTCAGAGGGAATGTGGCAAGCACTGATGTCAATGTTGCATGTAACCATTGTAACGCGGTGTGTATATTCATTGGGAAAGGTAGAATGTCACTGACCTCCATTCTGAGCTGTTATTAAGAGGGCAACGGGGCCCCACATGAAAGTCAGATTCGGAGTGGTGTCTGGCCTTTCCCACACATATAGTAAAGGAGCTCTAAATAAAGATCGATTTCTGCTACTGAACACGGGGCTCAGACTTCTCTTTAAAATCCCTCTCCAACAGCCATCAAAGCTACTAGGCCATCTGTTTCTTTCAAGCCATTCACTCCAACCAATGTATCAACTCAGCTAAGCCTGCACCAAAATGGAAACTAAGCTAAATTCTATTTTATAGTTACTGATAGTTATCTATACCCAATTTTGGGGCATGTCATAATATTGGTAGAAAATTTACAAACAATTTTCAATTTCCATCATCTAATTTTAACACCCAAGACCATTTTGGTTTAAATGCTTTTCAAAAGGAAGAAAGGTGGACCTACAATGATCATCTGACTGAGGCAAGTTCAGGAAACCAATGTTGAATTGTCTGAACATAAATTATCTTCTTTTTCTCCAAAAGACATGGAACTAGTTAAATGACTTGGTGTCAAAAAAACTCACATTGTAATTTAAGTTCAACTTGTGTGAAAAGTTGTACATGTTGGTCATGGAAGGGTTGCCTGCAAATATCCGATTTTGAAAGACGCTGGAGCCTGATGTAACACACTTACAAACCATATTTCAGCAGCTACTTGGCTGAGCATAAATTTCCTCCTTTATCCTTGAGTGGAGCTACTCTTTCTCTCGCTACCCTTTTGTTCCTCACATACATATGTATAAAATACCTTGGGATTTTCCTTAATCCTGTTTGCCAAAGACATTTCCTGGCCCTTTCCCTGTTTGGTCTATTTACATATTGTTTCATAGTAAATATAGAAGAAGTTAAAACCACCCACCACAACATTCTTCCATAATCTGTCCACATATCTGATCCTCCATCTCCTGCTAACTTTTGGGATGCCTGTAATACAATCCCATTAAAGTGACTGCACCCTTCTTATTCCTGAGCTCTACCCACTTAGATTCACTGGATGAACTCTCCAAGATGTCCTCCCTTAGTACAGCTGTGATATTTTCCTTTATCAGTAACACAACTCCCCCACGTCTTTCATATCTATCTCTATGTCATCTGAAACATCTAAATCCCAAAACGCTAAGCTACCAGTCTTTTCCCCTCTTTCAACCACTTTCCTGGTGCATCAGTGTTAATACTGAGGTTACCTGCAGAAAGCAAAGAATGAATAAATGAAAATGAAATCAGGAAGATATGGTAAAAGAGAAGGAAAGCCAAGTCAGTTAAAGATTACAGCTCTCAATTTCTGTGCTGGAGGATCGGGAAATGTCATACATTTACATCCCAGTTAGAGGACTTAATTCATTGTTTTCAATTTACTGATGGGACATGGGCATCACTGGCGAAACCAGCATTTATTGCCCATCCCTAGTTGCCCTTGAGAAGGTAGCACTCAACTGCCTTCTTGCAGTTCATATGCTGCAGGTTGATTCACAATGTCATTAGGGAGGGAATTCCAGAATTTTGCCTCACCAAAAGTGAAGGAACAGTGATATATTTTCAAGTCAGGATGGTGAGTGTTTGGAAGGGAACTTGGACATGGTGGTGTTCCCATGTATCTGCTGCTCTTGTCCTTTTAGATGGAAGTGGGTTTGGAAGGTACCGTCTGAGGATCTTTGGTCAATTTCTGCAATGCATTTTGTAGATAGTACACACTGCTGCTACTGAGCATCGATGGTGGGAGTGAACATTTGTGGATGTGGTGGCAATCAAGTGGGCTGCTTTGTCCTGGATAGTGTCAAGCTTCTTGAACGTGGTTGGAGCTGGATTTATCCAGGCAAGTGGAGAATATTCCATTACACTCCTGACGTGTGTCTTGTCGATGGTCGACAAGCTTTGGGGAATCAGGAAGTGAGTAACTCACTGACGTACTCCTAGTCTCTGACCTATTCTGTATTTATATGGTGAGTCCAGTTGAATTTCTGATCAATGGTAACGCCCGGATGTTGATAGTTGGGGATTCAGTGATGGTAACACTATTGAATGTCAAGCGGTGGTGGTTAGATTGTCTCTTATTGGAGATGGTAATTGGCTGCCATTTGTGCGTTGTGAATGTTACTTGCTACTTTTCAGCCCAAGTCTGCATATTGTCCAGGTTTTGTTGCATTTGAACATGGATTGCTTCATTATCTGAGGAGTTGTGAATGGTGCTGAACATTGTACAATCATTGACAAACATTCCCATTTCTGACCTTATAATGGAGTGAAGATCATTGATGAAGCAGAAGATGACGGTTGGGCTTAGGACACTACCCTGAGAAATGCCTGCAGAGATGTCCTGGAGCTGAGATGACTGACCTGAACAATCACGACCATCTTCCTATGTGTCAGGTAAAACTCCAACCAGTCGAGAATTTGTCCCCTGTTACCCACTGGTGCCAGTTTTGCTAGGGCTCCTTGACGCCACACTCAGTCAAATGAAGCCTTGTTGTCAAGGGCTGTCATTCTCACCTCACCTCCAGAATTCAGTTCTTTTGTCAAACTAAGGCTGTAATGAAGTCAACAGCTTCCTGAGTTGTGAATGCAATCCGTTTCAAATGTATTGACTGTTCTGCTATCATCTCCTAACCAAAAACCATTCTAAAAGGAATTAATTATCTCCAAAAAAATAACAATGTAAGCTGATTACATTTCACAAAAATAAATCTGACCTTGGGTTTTGTTCTATTGCATTTTGAGAGATTGGTCAATTTGAAAGCATTGGATAAAACTGAATAGCTATCTTCAATTTTACACAGTAGTCACAAATACAAGCCTAATTCACCTGCTCTGTGCAGCATTCAAGTACTGACAATTCTAATCTTTCTTGGCTGTTGAACCTCATCTCACCCTTAGCATATCTATACAAAGCTTTCGTTTTTCATTGCAATTTGCTATGCCATGTGGAGCAGCACGGTGGCTCAGTGATTAGCACTACTGCCTCACAGTGCCAGTAACCTCAGGCGACTGTCTGTGTGGAGTTTGCATATTCTCCCTCTGTCTGAGTGTGTTTCCTCCAGGTGCTCTCATTTCCTCCCACAGTCCAAAGATGTGCAGCTTAGGTGGATTGGTCGTACTAAGTGCCCACAGTGTCCAGGGGTATGCAGGCTATGTGGATTAGCCACGGGGAATGCAGGGTTAGGGGATAGGGTGGAGGGGGAGTCTGGGTGGGATGCTTTTCGGAGAGTTAGTGTGAACGTGATGGGCCAAATGGCCTGCTAACACACTGTAGGGATTCTGCGATATATTCATCATGATCTCCTTCTTCAACTTTGGATAAACTGGTGGCAACTGCAGTTCAGTAGTTCATTGACATTTCCATGACCACTCACCAATTCCCTCTCCACTGTAACTCCCTCATTGCTCATCTCTGCCTCCTTCCACTGTACATAATATTTACAACCATTAAAGTAGCTTGTTAAAGGATTGATCCCAAGAAAACTTTATTTTAATGGATTAATGTTTCCCTCAGAGTTTTACTTTTACTGAGCAGACCTAAAATGCTGATCTCTCTATCGGGATGCCCAGCGCACACCATTACTTTGTAACATTTAGAGTAAAGCAGCTGGTACAGCCTCTGTTTAGATATTTGAATTGGGCAGGTCTTTAAAATAATCACAATGGATTTACTCTCATGAAGGAAACATTCCCCTACGGACTGCGGTTCGGTATCTGTCACATCCTTTTTCAGAACATTAAATTGTCGTTGTTTATTTGAAACTTGCCACTTTGAAAATATTTGAATCACATTAGGTGATAAAGCCTCACCATGATAATAACTTACACCTGTGTGCTTTCAGCCCTTCAAAGGAAACTGGCTCTTCATCATAATACTCGTAGCGCCAGATGTAATCACTGTTAGATACAGTGGTCTTGTTTGCAACAGCACTAGCTTCGGACATTTCACACCTGTAAGTCAGAACAATATTTCATTTTTGTGTTTTTTTTGAATTAAACAAATTAAACAAACCAACAGCATGTTTATCCTAAATTTAATTCCACTCAATGACAAATTAGTTTTAAATATAGATATGCATCTTCGATATAATTAATGCTCAGGTCTGATCCGATTAATCATCTGCTGGGAAAAAAACATTTCAAATTCCTTTCATTACCAAATTATCATATCAAATAAGAGCATTCAGCAGTCTCATTTCTTTCAAATACCATGACTATTCTTTCCGTCTCATCTCCTTAAATCCCAAAGGAAGTTGGGAATATTTTTAAAATCATTCAAAACTGATGAGCTAAAAAGGAATACAGAGTTTCAGAATTTAGGCTAACAGGTTAGCTAAGGTGAATGTGGGTGATAATTATCTGCCAATCATTGGCAACATCAATTACTTAACCCTTAAAAGGTGTTTATGTGACATTTCATATCAGAGACATTAACAGATTTTAAATAGAGGAAGACTATTGACTGAGAAAACAGTACAAAACCGGGCAATCATTAGGGCTGGGGCTATCAACAGAATTAAATACCAACCCAACCTGCAAACTGATAGTCCAGCAGATCCCTCACTTCTTCATTATCATTAAAGCTTGGATTTCAACTCTGGTCAATGATACCCGAGAACGATGCACATTTTGAAAAGTGTAAGACAACTGCGTAAAGATAGCTGCGTGCTAAACCACAGATAAAGGAAAGTTCTGTATTCTCACCAAGAGATAGTGGACAGCCAGGTGACCAACAGGAGGAGGGGGCTCCATAAACGTCTACATGCTCATGCTCAGCACCACCATGTTTAAAAGCAAGACATGCATCTTCCACCTAAAATACTGAGATGATGATCTTACTCAGCCTCCTCTTCAGCACCTAACTATAATTGATAGCAGTATCTGATCAATTCAGTTCACTCCATGTGATATCAAGCAGCAGCTAAGTGATTGAGAACAAAAATAATGAACACTGACAACATTCCACCTGTCAAACTTGTTATGACCCCAGTTGATATTATATTGATAGGTCAGATCTCAGATAGAAACCTGGCTTGATAGATCATAGTTTGATTCGTTTTGGTTTTCAAAAGTTGGTTTCTCTCGCAAACATAACTGCACAATGCTGCAGATTTTGCTTTAACAATAAAACAGAAGTTTATTAACAAAAGAAATATATAATAAAATAGAATAAACCAAAGTATCTACTTGTAATAAAATCAAAGATTTTTAAACAGTAGGTGTATAATCTAATTTATCCCAAAACGTTCCTTCATAAATTGAGAAGAAATAACTTTTGTGTAACACCAAAAAAGGCCACATACATAGTTCATGATATATCCTTCCCTTCTCAGGAACACTGTTCTACACAGCCATTCTAATAACACACTGTTTATATCACAATTTGAAGGTCTGTACAACAGAACTACACATTCCTCTATGTCCTACACTTGTACTTCAGTACATTGTTGGTTTCTCAGACATATTTTGCTGTGATTTGCATTCAGGTCAAGACTACTACTTCTGAGCCAAGTTCCATCATTCTTCTATGCTAGATCTTACCAGAACCAACAGTTTTGTTGTCCTTCTTTGGACCATTTCCTCAAAAGGCAGTGGAAACAGAATCTTTGAATATTTTAATGCCAGAGGTGGATAGATTCTGATAAGGAAGGGGGTGAAAGGTTCCTGGGAGTTGTTGGGAATGTGGAGCAATCAAGTCAGCCCTGATCTTAGTAAAAGGTGGAGCAGACTCAAGGCATTGAGTGATCTACTCCTGTAAAAACATTCAGATGTTGTCACTTTATACAGGGAATTAATTCCTAGCATTTTGGATTTTAGTATCTGACTTGCTGTTCTATACATATTTTTCATCAAAATGTTCAGTTATCTTACAACACTTGGATGAACTAGGGAAATCCACTCCCTACTGAAGACCGGATGTGCGGCATTTAAGTTGGACGACCCGGGCCTATACAGGAAATCCAGATATGACATCTGCAAGGCCATCAGGGAGGCCAAGAGGCAGTACCAGACCAGGTTAGAGACCCAAACCCACCAAGCAAACTCCTGCCGCCTGTGGCAAGGCATAAACAACATAGTGGGATACAAAATGAAGCAGAGCAAGATAGCAGACAAAGGCACATCCCTCCCTGATGCACTCAATACTTTCTATGCTTGGTTTGAGCAGAACGCCAGCGGCTCAGTATCACCTGCCCTGACAGGCCCAGACACACCTGCTTCCTCTGTCACCGCTGCACACGTCAGATTGGTCTTCCTGGGAGTCAACCCAAAGAAAGCGATGGGCCTGGACAGAGTCCCCAGCCACGCACTTAGATCCTGTGTGGACCAGCTGGCACAGGTATTCACTGACATTTTCCACCTCTTCCTCTTACAAGCCGAAGTCCCCACCTGCTTCAAGAAGACCATCACCATCCCTGTACCTAATAAAGCACATGCAACGTGCCTTAATGACTACCACCCAGTGGCTCTGACCTACATAATCATGGAATGCGTCGAGAGGCTGGTCATGGCCCACATTAACTCCAGTCTCCCAGCCTGCCATGATCCCCTGCAATTTGCCTGCTGACATGACAGATCCACAGTGGACGCCATTTCCCTAGCCCTGCACTCATCCCTGGAACATCGGGACAACAAGGACACCTACTCATCTACTATAACTCCTCCTTCAACACCATGATCCCCTCCAGACTGATCTCAAAACTCCGAGACCTAGGTCTCGACTCTGCCCTTTGCAACTGGATCTTCAGCTTCTTGACCCACTGACAGCAATCAGTGAAGATAGACAACTGCACCTCCCCCATGATAACACTCAACACTGGAGCCCCCTGCGTTCTCAGCCCCCTGCTGTACTCTCTGTACACCCACGACTGTGTAGCCAAATTCCAAATGAGCACCATCTACAAGTTTGTTGACAACACTACCTTGGTTGAATGGATATCAAACAACAATGAGTCTGAATACAGAAAGGAGATAGGCGGGGGCTTGGTGATGTGGTGCAATAATAACAACCTCTCTCTCTCAATGTTGGCAAAACAAAGGAACTGACCATTGACTTTAGAAAGAAAGGAGGAGAACACGCCCCCACCTACATCAACGGAGCGGAGGTTGAGAGGGTTGAGAGCATCAAGTTCCTCGGAGTGACGATAACCGATGACCACCTTCCCTGGAGTTCCCACATAGTTAGGGGGAAGAAGGCACAACAACGCCTCTTCTTCATCAGGCAGCTTAGGAAATTTGGCATGTTCATAAGGACCCTCACCAACATTTGCAGATGCACCATAGAAAGCATACTATCAGGGGGCATACTGGCCTGGTACGGCAACTGCTGTGCCCAGGACCGTAAGAAACTACAGAAAGTTGTATGCACAGCCCATATGATCATGGAAGCCAACCTTCCATCTATGGACTCTATTGATATGCCTCACTGCCACGGAAAGACTGCCAACATCATCAAAGACCGCTCCTACCCTGGTAATGCTTTCCTACAACCTCTTCCATGAGGCAGAAGATACAGAAGCTTGAACGCATGCACCAATATCAGAATTGATGTCTGAGTATTCTTGGCAAAAGTAGGAGTCTTAGAGTAAACTAACAAGCTTTATTAATTATGCACATTAGGTAGAAGAGAGGCTTAAGGCAGGACATTTCTAGAATCTTCTACGCACAGTTCTCAGTTCCATGTGGATCTGACATCACCAGCGATGCAGTCTAGCAATTAGCATGTAGTAAGTGATCCCATAAATACTACAGGCTTCAGAAATAGTTAGAGTGGATGAATAGAACTGATTGGATTGTCCTACAGGAAACTAACATGAATTCAATGGGCTGAATGGCCACCCTCTGTACTCCCGCACAGGGGTGTCAATAGCCTATGGTTTTAATGCTGGACTGTCAATCCAGAGACCTATGCAGTGTTCTGGGACGCAGGTTCAAATACCGCCACAGCAGATGATGGAATTTGAATTCAATCAATATCTGGAATTAAGAGACTAATGATGACCATGAATCCATTGTGGATTGTCAGGATGAAAACCAAACTGGTTCACTAATGTCCTCCAGGCAAGGAAATCTCCCATCCTTCAGCTGATCTGGCCTACATGTGACTCCAGACCTACAGCAATGTGGCTGACTCTCAACTGCCTCTGGGCAGTTAAGAAACTGCAATAACTGCTGGCCTAGCCAGCAATGCCCTTATCCCACTTGTCTGGATGAGTGCAGCCCCAACAACACTCAAGAAGCTTGACACCTTCCAGGACAAAGCAGCCCACTTGACTGGCACTACATCCACAAGCATTCATTCCCTCCACCACCGATGCTCAGTAGCAGCAGTGTGTACTATCTGCAAGATGCACGGAAGAAATTCACCAAAGATCCTCAAGCAGCACCTTCCAAATCCACGACCACTTCCATCTAGAAGGACAAGAGCATCAGACATATAGGAACACCACCACCTCTACGTTCCCCTCCAAGTCAGTCGCCATCCTGACTTGGAAATACATCGCCGTTTCTTCACTGTTGCTGGGTCAAAATCCTGGAATTCCCTCCCTAATGGCATTGTGGGTTAACCCACAGCAGGAAGACTGCAGTGGTTCAAGAAGGCAGCTCACCACCACCTTCTCAAGGGCAACTAGGGATGGGCAAGAAATGCTGGCCAGCCAGCGATGCCCACATCCCACAAATGAATAGAGAAAAAAATTTTAAATAAATAAAGACTATGACCAAGTCCCAGCCAACAATTGTCTGTTTCCAGGCTGAATGATAAATTCCTGGTTCCTTGAATTTTAAACATTTCATCTTCATATTTTAAGCCCTTCATGGCTTGTAGATTGCGAGGATGTCTTGAATATCCTCTGAGAAGCAAGTAAAACAAAACTTAAAAATAGAGAGGCCTAGCAGAATTTCATGTTTGCAATATCAAAGAAGTTACCAGGAGGCCAACAACTGTTGTACCT